TAAGTATTTTTTGATTTAAAGGTCAGAAGCTATAGCTTACATGAACAAAAAAAAAAACACAAACATGACACTTAATATAAATAATTTTATACTGATTTATTCATTAATGTGCAATGTTATATTTTTAAAACATATTATGAGCTCTAAAAGATTTTCATCATTTTTACAACTCTTTTGATTTAGACCATTTATAAATGTTAAATCATAAAATAAAATATTAAAGTTACCACTGCATCTTTCTGAAAAAAAAATGCAGTTATTAATATATAGTTCATTTATAGTTATTTTCAAATATTCAGTGCACTGCAATTATAAAAGAACTTTATTATTGTTTATTTAATTCTAACAAATAAGTTCTTGTTAAAAACTAACCAAAATTATCGGCATATCGGGTATCGGCAAAAATCCAATATCGTGCATCCCTAATATATATAATTACTTTTTAATAGTTTTTCTTTCTGCTGCATGGGTATAATCTCGCTATCAAAATGCCAGCAGTAAAATCATGATTAATTCAACCATCATGGCAGAACATGAAGCAGTCAAATGTAGGACGGAGGACAAAGTCATTTCATGCAAAAAGGGATTAAATCAAAGGTGATCAGCTATCAGAGTTTGGTTTGGAAAGAAGTTTCTGGTCTATTTTTACACCATGTCCTAATGATGTGACATGTTTCCAACATAAAATTATTTTTTCTTCCACACAGTGACAAAATCCAAAAATAATTGGTATTTAAAGGGACAGTTCACCCCAAAATGTACATTGTCATTTATTCACCCTCATGTTTTTCAAAAATTGCTTGACTTTTTTCTTCCATTGAACACAAAAGGAGACATTTAGCAGAGTGCCCGAGCTGCTCTCTTCCAAACAATAAAGGGGATGGTGACCAAGAGTTGTCTAGGACAAAAAAAAGCACCATAAATGTACCCCATATAATTTGTTTATATAAAGCTAGCTTGGTGTTGATATAATTCATTAAAAATCCAACCTTGCTTGACAGCTGTAGAATCTTTTATTGTATGAAAAAGTGCAGTGAGAACATCCTCTTATAGATATTTCTCCCTTTGTGCTTTTATGACTTTCAAGAAAATCAAACTGGTTTTAATAGATATTAGGGTGAGTGAATAATGACAGAAGTTTAATTTTTGGGAGAACTATCCCTTTAACAGCTATGTAAAGTGGAATTTTAGACCAATGAGATTCCACTGTGGGCGGAGCTACCCAGTGTAACATGACAAAAACAGTAACCATGTAATTGACTGTCACATTGCGTCTAGTTAGGACTCTGGACTTTTTATTTGACATTGTAATTCTTATTCAGGTCAAAGTGCAGCTAACAATTAAACTCCTATGGCACAGTACAATATGTGAACAATTGACAAAATCATGTCCAATTTCCGCTATCCTCTGCGGATCTCCGCTCCAGCCCACCGGCTGCAAAAGATCCAACAATCTGACGGAGACCAGCGAATTAAAATCTAAACACATACAGCTTTTCCAGATGGTCTCGATTGCGAATCATACTGGAATGAATAAATATGACTCCATTAGGGTCCTCTCAAAGAGGAATTGGTACACAACATGCAAATTAGCCTTCAGTCGCGCCGGCCACAATTCCTTGGAGCAATTCTAATCCGTTTCTGCTGGGCAGCTACCATTACTATTGTATTTGAGAACAGCGCACATAATTTCCCATGAGGCCGTGCGAGAGCTCTCCACCATCGGTGCGCCGGCGTAATTTAAACACACAGCAGCTGTTCAGTGTGCCATGTTCAGTCACTGTGTATCCATCTCCTCTGAGCCGCTGTCACACAAACGACACATGACTGAACTGAACATTACGAGTCATTAGTCAGTATAGAGCTACTAGTTAATAGGGGGATCATTTTAATTCAGTATTCTACTCGCTCAGCAATTATTACAACAAATAATTGGAAAAAGAAATACAGAAGTACTAAAACATGTTTAAGTATATTTATAGTCTAATCCAGAGTTTATAACTGGTTTTGCTTCAGTTTAGGATAAGATAAGATAAGATAAGATAAGATAAGATAAGATTTCAGTTTAGGATAAGATAAGATAAGATAAGATAAGATAAGAGATTCAACAAAAATGCGCAGAAAATCAAGCATGCTGAAGAAATATATATATATATATATATAAATAAATAATAATAATAAAATAAAATATATGAATTTTTAAGTTTTACATCAGCACATAAACACAAATAATATAAAATAAAATAAAATAAAATAAAATAAAATAAAACAAAATAAGGTATGGGCTTGTATCGCAAATCAAATAAATAAAACATGTATTTATAATTTTGAAAAAAGCACACAGCATAAAATAAATAAAATTATAGCACAAAAGTCAACAGAAATGCCCATAAATTCAAACATACAATAGAAATATTGAAAAAAAATAAATAAAATAAAATAGATGTATTTATATGTTTTACATTAGCACACAAAATAAAATACAATTTAATGTGGTCTGAGCTTGTATATCAAATCAAATAAATAATGTTAATAAATTATTATCTAGTGAAAGTGGTTTGCCTGCTAACATGTGGTACAATTACCACACAAAACCCTCTCTTAAATGTGTTCAATTCAAGTTTATTTGTATAGTGCTTTTCACGATATAAATCGTTGCAAAGCAACTTTACAGCAAATTAAGTTTCTACAATATATTTTGTAGTAGCTTATCAGTGGTGACTGTCAGTTAATGTACAAATATGTGTATGTACAATCTATTTGCTTGTGTGGGTATATCGCTTGCAGTACACCCATGAAACAAACATGAAACTTGATAAACTGCGAAAGAAAATAGTACCCTTTATATATATATATATATATACATATGTGTATTTTCTTAACATATCTTTATTTTTTATTATCTGTGTGGTGGTGTTGTCTCTGTGTACTGGAAACTGCTGTCATCAAAAATTATTTGTATGTGCAAACATTCTTGGCAATAAAGCTCTCTCTGACAACTTCTGACTTGAACATCATATTGATCTGTGTTTCTGTGTGTGTGTGTGTGTGTGTCAACCTCTATCAGACGGGTCTTGTCGTAGTCTCTGCGGTGCTGGTAAATACACTGGCTGAGCACTGAGTAAACTCTCTCCAGATGATCCACACTAAAGCCGTCACTTTTCACAACCACCTTCTCCAACAGAGCCTGAAAGAAAGGAAAATAAAACACGATTAGACATAATTAATTCTGTCTCAAAAAAAGACATTTCAGTCATCATTTACTCAAGTTAATGTCATTCCAAACCTGTGTAGCGGAAATTTTGAAGACTGTTTTTAAAGCTCTTTTCCATGCAATTTCAATAAACATGGAGTGAAGCTTTCAAACCTCAAAAACAACACAAAATCATCATGAAGGTAGTTTATATGACTCGTGAGCTTATTTCAAGTCATCTGAAGTCATATGACAGCTTTGTGTGAGGAAAAGACTCAAATTAGTTCATAAGAGAAGTTCATGAAAGAATCGTTTGAATTTTTTCAATTAATCATTTGATTAGGTTCATAAAACCAGTGATTCATTTGAATTGGACTGATCTGGTTCTTCAGTTCAACTCACTGATTCCACCCCTTCGCAGCAGTTAACAACAAAATGATCAGTGGAAAACAACTTAATTTTTAATCTGTTTCTACACAAAGCTACAGAAGACTATCAATTTTGATAGTGCTTTTGTGTCTGTATTTGCTTGAAAACTTCATTGTAACTGCATGGAAAACCACATCAGGTCTTTAGAATGTCACCTGTTGCGCTCCATGAGTTTGGAATGACATGAGGATGAGTAAATAATGAGCATTTTGATTTTTTGGATGAACTACTGCTTACAAAGGAAGCATACTGTTCAAAGGTATGATTAGATTTGAAACACTGCAAGATTTGCCAATGCAGAAGTAATATCCTTAGCTCAGTGCTGCTTATTAGTATTTGATTTGTTAATGGCAGGAATAATGCCACTAACATAATGGGTTTCCTTTTTTTTGGAGGGAAAAGCACTTACACTTGAATGAGTCATTTTTGTAAGTAAGATCTGGCTCTAAAGGAGGCATCTGGAAGTGAGGTAATGAATGAATCACATAATCCTCAAATACACACACATCAAGCATTTTTGTAAGGTTCATGCAGACAAAAGAGCAGCACAGTCTGTCTCTCGTTCTGATTTTCGTGGGGAAGTTTGACCTGCACCTGCTAATAAATAAAATTTCAGCCAAGCATTAAAGCCGCTGATGAATGTGCGTCCTGCGGTTTGCTGCGCTGCTGGAAAATGACTGTGGTGTTTGGAACAGTCTTGAACAGGCTTAATTTGAAGTTGAAGCTTAATGACATTGTTTTAGTTTCCAGAGACCGCGCTACAAACATGCAGTGATAGAAATGGGAGCTGACAGCTAATGCAATTTGGAGGAAACCTCACAGGTGCCAAATCCAGCTCATCACAGCCACAACTCAACTTTCTATGAATAGAACCATGTTCAACATGCTTAAGCCGGTTCTCCAAAATACTATCATCTCCAGACCCTTTCGGTGTGTAAAATTGCAACATCTGTCTGATTGGATAACACAAAAGCATATTAATTCTGGTTTTCCACAGTTTCTGACCAACAAATCAGTTTGTGATTACTGGAAAATTAATAGTTATTTTATAAACACAAAAACAGCAATTTCTGGCTTGGAAAATAATTCAGAATTAAATGATATTCACTATAAAAATATAAAAATTTTCCAACATTATATACAGTATACATACATATATATATATATATATATATATAATTTTAACAGTTTTATATTTTAAATAATTCAGTAAAAAACAGTGGTAAAATTTAATTATAGAATTTAATTTTAGTTCTTACATTAAACAAACATCTTGCATTTAACATTTTGAATCTACAGTGCAATGACTACAGTGGCTGTTTGGTTGCAAAGAAGTTTACTCTGACTGAAAAAAATAACAAATCATTTTATTTCATTTTAAGCTACATTAAATACCTTTAAAAAGGCTGAAAAAATAGCTTTTTTTTAGCTGAATCAACCAGCTCTAGTTATATACTACTCACTCAACATTCAAGACCCTAATGGATTGAAAAGGAGTCATGGAAATGTTTGAAATGACAGTCTGTAACACCACTCTACTGGCATTTTCAAGAGAAATGGAAAGCATTCAGAACAGAAAATGTACCGTGTTAAATGTACACATGAGAACTGCACGCGCGCGCACAAAAAGTGGAAAAATAAATGAACATTAACCGAGAGGGTAACCTCCAGAAGATAGTTTGACCAGACGCACACCTGCAAACGAAACGACTGTGACAACATTGAACTCCCAACATGTACACCCAGGAAGGGAGGTCAGCCATCTTCAAAAGCAATTAAGATAACGGCGACAGCTAATTAAGGCACATCATAATTACCTTCCATTTCATGGGCATTTCATGGGCAGCTCCAGAATGCGAGTATTTACTGTTTGCACTCGGTTTAATTAAAACGCCTCAGACTTCACAGTGGCCTTTCAATTGACATGTTCATCACAACGATCCTCCGGCCAACTAAATATAAATAGACAAGTCATTACTCGGACTGCACTGACCTGAGTCAACATAAACAGTGCTGCTTTCTGATAAGGATGGACCCAGAAAGAACAAAGCGCAAGGAGTGTGCCCAGATTACCAATGGACGGCAGTAATTGAGGACTTGGGTTTGGTTTTGGGGAGACATTTAATGAGAAAACACATCCCCTGCGGACAGGTTTGAAATTGTATCTTTGCAACACGATGACAGCCCCTGAACCAATGAAAACAACCAAATGCGTTCATTGAAAACCACTGGAGGACACTGAAGGTAAATATCTGTATACTGAAGAGCACAACAATGGAAAACAACCCCATTCCTCAGAAAGCACTGAAGTTCGTAATATACAGATTCTACTAGTGACTTTATTTGTTAGATAATCATGTATAACTGGCTGAAATAGAAATCAGTTCCAAACTCTATTCAAAACTTATAAAAATGGAGTAAATAGTGTAGAATAAATGTTCATGCAATTGTGTCCTTAGCTATCATAAGTTATTGCGTTTCATTATTTATTTTTTTCACCATGACATTACATAAACACATTATTAGTCCATAAAGTGTGGTAAAATTGTTATATTACTTGTAGATTAGCACTATATTAACTGATTGTCAGCATTTTATATCAGCATTATATTTCTATGCTATCTACATTTTTAAAGACTAGTAAATAGTCAGTTGTAAAATAAGAGCAAATCAAATTACAAGCAATAGCACAAAATAGCCTTCTATACAACAAAGATTCAAAGAGAAACGGTGCATTTCAGGCAGGTCTAACAGTGATTTTCAGGTAGCCTACAGAAATGTAATAAATTATGCTAAACAAATAACACTATAGTCTTTATATCTTTTTTAAAGTTCAAGAGCTTTGAGTGATTGTTTTTTTCTTTGTCCTATTTTCTTTGATCAACATTAAAAACCCAGACAACAGCAGGATTATTGGAATTCTGTGTCTATCACTTTAACACCATGTCTACACCGCAGCAGCTTGAAGATGCGACAAAGCGGCCGTTGCTTGGACTATTTCAGAAATAGAACGGGGAATCCGCTTACTTTCGGGGATTTGTCGTGTCACGCCGCATCCTGTGCAGACAATATCACTGATTATAATAGGTTCTATTGTCTTGTGACACATTGCGTCGTGCGCGGTTCGTGTTCGGTTTCTTTCTCAGCTGTTCATGTTCACTTAAGAACCAACTACTTTACTAGGATACTCACAGAGACGGGCATTTTTGACATAATTTTGTGTGAATTTGTCCGTTCAAGTGCAGGAAGGAAGCAGAGCTCAAGACGCGGCTTTCAGGACCGGTCTTCAGATGTTTAAATTTCCCACTCAGCACGAGTAATGCGTGTCCTTTCATGTGTTCTAGCTCTTGAATATTTACATTGCAAAGGTTTAAACTTTTGTGATGAAGCAGCACTGACCCGTCAATTGTACAGAGCGTTGTTCACATTTGTTCACGTTTATGTTCTCACAACATTACACTGCGAGGAGATGCATGTCAGTACCAGGTGTAAACAGTTCTTTACTGTCTTCCTGTGTCTCGTCTCTCTCTCTTTTCCTCTCATTCACACATTTTTTTTATAAGGGCAGCGTGAGGCATGACTCACTGGCTGTAGGCACAGATAAATCTCTTCCTGTACTCTGCTTAATCTGGCCCCTGTGTAGTCAAGCCTTTGAACTGATTTACAGTGATTATAGAGGCTAGTCATGGGAGCTCATTAAAAACAACTCCAAAACTGTCTGTGAAGAAGGGCATGCAGGAGAGGAGATGCAGGAGACAGGAAAACATGCCAGATAACTATCAGATGAACTTATACAACACTATTTTGTGATATTATTGCATTCAGGGTGCCAGACTGTAATATAGAGATCAGACCCAGGCTATCCCTCATTCGAAAACTGAATTATTTGATATTGTATCCTTTTGTTTTGGTGCCCTAAGCACTGACTGGCTTTAATAACAAAACAAAAAAAACAAACAAAAAAATATATATATATATCAGGGCCTAAAACTAACTTTTTGCCAGACCTGCCATTGGCCGGTGACTTGAGGAAATTTACCGGCCAGAAATATTTTTTACCAGCCATGGAAAAAAAAACAGGCAGTTATGACACCAAAATATTAGATAATAGCAAAAAATCACAATCCTTGATTCCAGTTTCGATACCTGCTAAAACTACTAGTTTAACCAATAAAAATTTAATAGGCTACATTTTTAAAGACTAGTAAATAGTCCGTTGTAAAATAAGAGCAAATCAAATTACAAGCAATAGCACAAAATAGCTTACTATACAACAAAGATACAAATAGAAATGGTGCATTTCAGGCAGGTCTAACAGTAATTTTCAGGTAGCCTACAGAAATTTAATAAATTACGCTAATCAAATAACACTATAGTCTTTATATCTTTTTTAAAGTACAAGAGCAGTGAGTGATTTTTATTTTTTTTTGTCCTATTTTCTTTGATCAACATTAAAAACGCAGACAACAGCAGCATTATTGGAATTCTGTGTCTATCACTTTGTGTCTACACGGGCAGCTTGAAGTTGTCAACACTGGATGCGACAAAGTGGCCGTTGCTTGCTT